AAAATTATCCAGGTGTAGTGGTGCATGCCTATAATCCCAGCTATTCGGGAGGCTGAGGCAGGAGAACTGCTTAAACCCAGGAGGCAGATGTTGCCGTGGGCCACAATCGCACCACTGCACTCCGGCCTGGATGACAGAGCTCTGTCTCAAAAAAAAAAAAAGAATTTCTCTTCATCAAAACCAAAAAACAAAATCCTAGAGTAAAAAGACAAGCCACAAACTGGAAGTGGGCAGTTATAACTCATATAACTGGCAAAGATTTAGTATCCAAAATAAGAAATAAGAAACAAACTAACAAAAAGCTTACAAACCACCCAAAAGAAAAATGAGCAAGACAATCTGGTGTTTCAGAGAAGGTGAAATCTGAATGATCAGGAAGCAATGAAAAGATGGCCAACTCACAACCAGGAAAATGCAAATCAAAACCGCATGAGATGTCACTCTACGCCCACCAGATTAGTAAAAATGTTGAAGTCTGAAAATGCCATTGTTGAGAGGATATAAGGCAAATGGAATTGTTGAAGTGTACACTGGGGATACCATTTCGGAAACAACTTGGCATTATTTGGTTAAACTGAAGACGCACATACCCCGTGACTCAGCTCCACTCCCAGCTGTAGCCCCTGGAGAGGCTGGGCACACATGTCCCAGGAATGTGGACAGTGGCACTGTTTGTCTCAGCAAAATACTGGAAACAACCCAAATATGCACCAACAATAGAAAGGATAAATAAATTCTCATACAATGGAACATTATTCATCTGTGAAAATGAAATACCACTTTGTGCAACATGGATTAATGTCAAGGCACTGAAGAAAACAGTATGATTATATTAAGTTCAAAAACCAGGAAAATTAAATGGTACATTGTTCAGCAAGACAAACACATGGTAAAACTATAAAGAAAGGCCGGGCGCGGTGGCTCAAGCTTGTAATCCCAGCACTTTGGGAGGCCGAGGCGGGTGGATCACGAGGTCGAGAGATCGAGACCATCCTGGTCAACATGGTGAAACCCCGTCTCTACTAAAAATACAAAAAATTAGCTGGGCATGGTGGCGCGTGCCTGTAATCCCAGCTACTCAGGAGGCTGAGGCAGGAGAATTGCCTGAACCCAGGAGGCGGAGGTTGCGGTGAGCCGAGATCACGCCATTGCACTCCAGCCTGGGTAACAAGAGCGAAAACTCCGTCTCAAAAAAAAAAAAAAAAAAAAAAAAAAAAACTATAAAGAAAAGCAAAAGAGTGATAAAAGCAAAACTCAAGGATGACTTGGGCTGGGCAAGATATGGAGGGGCACACAGGGGGCTCTAAAGGTAACAGTCAGTTATTTTTGGGAACTGGGTAATGAGTACCTGGAAGATGTTTCTTGTATCCTTATTCTTTACACTGAACACATTCTTTTGTATCCAGTCAACATTTAACAAAAACAAACAAAATTAAACAACGTTCTTTTCTTACTTTAAACAATGTTGTCAAGGGTTCATTTGGGCTGCTGACTGAGTCACAGTAGCTGGGGAAAATCCCTGAGGGGCCCCGCATGGCCTGAGACCACTGAAAGAAGTGCTTTGCTCTCTGAGCTGTGGTGATACAGCTTCCCGTGGGGCAGGCTGGCAAAATCTGAGTCGAGCCTGCCATTCGGGACAGGAAAGTGGCTGCTTAGATTAATAAGTTCCAGTATAGGAAGTGGTGAGGCTGGGGAGTGGAGAACAGATTCTACTGCCAGACCTTTTAAGACCAGAAGCCGAGCAGATTTTTGATGTTACAACGAATCCACCAAGCCTGCTTTCTGGCCTGCTCTCTGCTCGCAGCGGGAATTCCCACCTCTGAGCTCTGTCCACACTGCTGTTTAGATATGAGTGAACAACTCTCAATTCTCACCATGCCCTTTGCTTCCTTCCTTCCTTTGAAGCCCAGGCCCTAAGAACCGTCTCTCTTCAATTCATAACAAGCATGTTTGAATCCAAGAGCCAAAGCCCCAGTTTTCTACATGTATCTGTGCTGACTGCATTACTGAGGTCAGCCTTAACCACCCTGGGGCTGTCAAGCATTGATGTCCATAAGGAGTTCCTGTGCTGACACTCCACATACACACCTGCAGCAAAGCTGAATCTCTTTGAGCCACAGTACTTACTCTCTGACCTCTATTATTTCAATCATTTAAAAACTGTGGCCATGGGAGGCTGAGATAGGAGGATCGTGTGAGCCCAGGAGGTTGAGGCTGCAGTGAGCTATAATCCTAGCACTGCACTCCAACCTGGGCAACAGAGCAAGACTCAGTCTCAAAAACTTAAAAACATTAAAAAAAAAAAACTGTGGCCAGCAAAAGAAGTAGATTATGATCTCTAGGACAATATGCTTTGTACACAAAATGTATTTGGAGTTTTTTGTTTTAATTAAAGTTGAGCTCCCTCCCTACTATGATGTCAAATGTCAAACCCAACAATGGGTCACCCTGCAGGATACCCTTGCTGACGTCTGTAATCCCAGTCCTTCGGAAGGCCGTGGTGGGTGGATCACTGGAGCCGAGGAGTTCAAGACCAGCCTGGGCAACATGACAAAACCCTATCTCTATAAAAAAACAGAAAAATTAGCCAGGTATGGTAGTGTGTGCTTGTAGTCCCAGGTACCTGGGGGGCTGAGTCAGGAAGATTGCTTGAGCCAGGGAGGTCGAGGCTGTAGTGAGCTATGACAGCTCCACTGCTCTCTAGCCTTGGCCACAGAGCAAGACCCTGTCAAGAAAAAAATAAATAAATAAAAAGTGTTATCTGAGGCTGGGTTTGGTGGCTCAAGCCTTTAATACCAGCACTTTGAAGGCTGAGGCAGGAGGACTGCTCGAGCCCAGAAGATTGGGACCAGCCTGGTACACCCTTGAGAACCTCCTGATTTTTCAACCTTGTGAATGCATTCCCATACCAAACATTGTTCTCTTCCTAAACTCTGCAGATTTTCTTTTCTGACCCTCAGGAGTCTTCTTCCATCAAATAACAGTAATTATGGAGCCAGGGACACGACTAAGCACTTTACATGCATAACCTTATTAATAATCCCACCCAAGAAAGTTATATTCAAAGTAACTATTATCCCCATTTTACATCTGAGCAAAACTGAGGCTTCTCTGCCCAAGGGCCTACAGGTAGTAACTCTAAGACCCAGACATGAGCCCAGGTACGTCTGGCTTAAAAGTTCACGTTCCTAACTGCTACCTTATACTAAGGGGGTTTCTTAACTGGGGGCGATTTTGTGCCAGGAGACACCTGGCAATATCTGGAAACATTTTGGGATGTCACCACTGGAGAAGAGTTACTACCGGCACTTATGGTGAGAGGCCAGAGATGCTACAGGAACACCCTCTGCCCCCAACAAAGATATATCTGGCCCCAAATGTCAGAAGTGTAAGATTGAGTAACCCACTATACTGGAACAAGACAAAAAGACACGGAAACCATCTTCTGACCAAAACTCTCACAGTGAAGGTCATAGTTCATCATGTCTACTTCCCATATTATAGCCAAATACCCAAGAAACAAGCAGCATGCCCAGCCCTCATCGCATGGAGTTTCTCCAACCCCAAATGCCAGTTCCTCCTCAGCCAATCAAGACTGATCATCCACTCATCCAACATTTGCTGAGCACCAGCTGTGTGCCAGGAAACAAGCTATACAGTGGCAATGACAGAATAAGTAAGAACCTGTCCCTGCATTCAAGACGCTGGCGGTCTCATGGGAAGACAGACAAGGGAGCCCAGGATCATAACTGAGGTGAAAATGTGTTAACAGAGATCAAAAACAGGATGTTAAGAAACCACAGGGGAGGGGTTCCAAACTCACTTGGGATAGATCTGGGAAAGGCTCAAAAAAGGCTTCCCAGAGGCATCTGAGCTTGAAGGAATTAAACTGACAGACAGAATCCTCAAAACACCCCTTATCAGATCTCTCAGGATATGGTCTCTGGAAATCCAAGGTTTGATGACTTTAATTAGAAAGCTTGGGGGAACTCTCACAGAAAACAGGGGCACAGAGCAATCCTTGACCCTCCATGCACAACCTAGATGGCATGGTCCCTGCCACAGGGCAGGACAGCAACCTGGCCTCCCCACAGGTTTGGGCCGTCCTCAACTTCCATCCTGACTGGCCCCCAGCTTCCAACCATCCTGTATCTTGCAGCAGGAAGCAAGTACCATTTCACAAATGTCCACTATACCAGGGGTCCCCAACCCCTGGGCCATAGACCTACTGTCCATGGCCTGTTAGGAACTGGGCTGCACAGCAGGTGAGTGGCAGGCGAGTGAGCGATGCTTCATCTGTATTTACAGCCGCTCCCCATCGCTTGCTCGCCATTACCGTCGTGAGTTCCACCTCCTGCCAGATCAGCAGCGGAGGCATCAGACTGTCATAGGAGCAAGACCCTACTGTGAACTGCGCAGGTGAAGAATCTAGGCTGCATGCTTCTCATGAGAATCTAATGCCTGATGATCTGTCACTGTCTCCCATCACCCCTAAATGGGACCATCTGGTTGCAGGAAAACGAGCTCAGCGCTCCCCTGATTCTGCACTATGGTGAGTTGTAGAATTATTTCATTATATATTATGATGTAATAACAATAGAAAGAAAGTGCATAGTAAATGTAATGTGTTTGAGTCAACCTGAAACCACCTTCTACCTTTAACCCCCTGTCCCTGGAAAAACTGTCTCCTGCAAAACCAGTCCCTGGTGCCAAAAAGGTTGGGGGGGTGCAGGCTGTGCCACAGCTGCTGGACCAGGGCATGGGGGCTAAGGGGGCGTGAGGCAGTGGCACAGGGACTCCAGATCCTGGAGGCCGTGCACGGGGCAGGAGGTGTGAGGCCACCCTGCCCGGGGCTCGGAGAGTTGGGGAAGCAGGGTGGGGCGACTGGATAAACTGACCATTATCTCAGGGTGTCTCTTTCTGGCTGCTGATATCTTCACCATCACCAGCATCACCAACCCAGACTGGCTCAACACCGGGGAGTCTGTGGGAGCACTCACCGTGGGCCTCACGTGACAGTGCCAAACAATCCATGGACGAGACGGGATGTGCATCTCTCCCGGGCTTCCCCTGGAGTGGGTCACCACACGGTTTTTTATCATCATGGGAATCATTTCATTGACTGTCACATGTGGTTTGCTGGTGGCTTCCCACTGGGGAAGAGAAGCTACAAAATGTACTCAATGGATAGCATTCACTGGAACCATCCTTTTCTGTATGGCTGCCCTAATATTTCCAATAGGATTTTACATCAATGAAGTCAGAGGTAGGCTGGGCATGGTGGCACATGCTTGTAATCCCAGCACTTTGGGAGTCCAAGGCGGGCGAATCACCTGAGGTCAGGAGTTCGAGACCAGCCTGACCAATACAGTGAAACCCTGTCTCTACTAAAAATACAAAATTAGCCAGACGTGGTGGTGCATGCCTATTGTCCCAGCTACTGGGGAGGCTGAGTCAGGAAAATCACTTGAACCCAGGAGGCTGAGGATGTGGTGAGCCAACATCACGCCATTGCACTCCAGCCTGGACAACAGGAGTGAAAGTCTGTCTCAAAAAACCAAACAAAACGAGGCCCACGTGGGCCCGGCCCACGGCGGCCAGACACGCACTCCGCTAGCAGCAGTTCCGCGTCGTGCCAATGGCCCACTACGAGGAGGTGAGCGTTGCCTGGCTTCCAGGAGTTCAACTAGGCCATGGAACAGCACAATGGCAAGATCACGTTTGCCTCCTTTATGGGTTCTAAGGACGCCGGAGGGAAAAGCTAGCGTCCCGACTTCGTGAAGGCCGAACCAGTTGTATGAGAAGGGCTGAAGGACGTTAGTGAAGGGTGTGTGTTCATCCACTGCCAAGTAGGAGACAAGCCTTATTGGAAAGATCCAAATAATGGCTTCAGAAAAAACGTGAAAGTAACAGCAGTGCCTATGCTACTTAAGTATGGAACCCCTCAAAAACTGGCAGAACCTCAGCGTCTTCAGGCCAACCTTGCGGAAATGCTGTTCTCTGAAGATTAAGATTTTATGATGGCAATCATGTCTTGATTTCCTGATTTTAGTATCAAAAAACTGTATACTTGCTTTGAATTCATGTTAGCAATAAATGGTGTTAAAAAACTGGAAACAAAACAAAACAAAACAATGAAGTCAGAGGTCAACCTTATAAATTACCCAACAAACACAGTAGCTGGGTCATCATATGTACTTTTTGTCTCATCAATTTTCTTTACAATAGTAGGACTTCTATTTGCTGCAAAGTTTGTTTACCAGGCTGATAAATGTCTAAATTCCTTGACTCTCTTGTTGCTTTTTATTTTTGGAGGGTGGGGAGGACAAAGGCGAGACACTTGAGCAGCGTCTCACGGGAAGGTGCTCAGATGAAACTGATGCTGAGAAGGAAAAGAAATGCTTTGTTTGCTCTCACTCTGTACTTTGGATTTTGAAAAAAAGAAAAAGAAAAGGAGAGGCGCTTTTTTTTTTTTTGAGACGGAGTCTCGTTCTGTCCTCCAGGCTGGAGTGAAGTGGCGCGATCTCGGCTCACTGCAACCTCCACCTCCCAGTTTAAGCGATTCTCCTACCTCAGCTTCCCGAGTAGCTGGGACTACAGGCACTCACCACCATGCCCAGCTAATTTCTTGTATTTTTAGTAGAGGCGGGGTTTCACCACGTTAGCCAGGATGGTCTTGAACTCCTGACCTTGTGATCCACACGCCTCGGCCTCCCAAAGTGCTAGGATTACAGGTGTTAGCCACTGCCCCCGCCAGGAGACCCTTTTCTATAACCAAATACAGACAACACTGACTAAATCTCCTGAGCATATTCAAGCAGTCTGCACTGTGACAGCAACCTAGAGAAGGAGAATGCTTTATACTGAAAAGCATGTGGCCCTTTGTGACTCTGTTGTTCCATTTTTAATGTCTAATGATTCACTGGGGGAAAACAAAAAGTCTAAGTGTTTATGTATCATGGTGGAGCAGAGGGATGCAAGAGAAGTTCATGTGGGGCAGGCCTCACCCCCCAAGAAACGAGTGTTCACAACTTCCCTGTAATAGTGTGAGCCTTTGGCACCAGGAGGGATTGCTGTGGCATTACTGCACCAAAAAGCCAAGAAGTCAAACTTGTTTGCTAAAATGTAAAAATTCTGAAATTCCCTCTTCACTGCATATGAAACAAAAAAATCAAACACTAAGACACATGTTTTGGGTAGGTGGGGGAAATCTCCCCTATATTTATATAACTATATATATAATGTATATATATATATTGCTATAAAAAAAAAGAAGGAAAAAAAAAAAAAGATTTGGGACCACCGCACTATGCAGCAAACTCTGAATTACCTTGCTGATGTCACGTCATTCTCCAAACAATTCTGTGAGGTAGCTGTTGTCATCCCTATTTTATAGATGAGGAAAGTGAGGCTCAGTGATGGAACTGAGTAAAAGGGCTTGCTGTCTCATGTGTCAGAAGATAATCTTGTGATTAGGAAAATTAATAGTCATGAGGTTTTTGGTTTTTTTTTCTTTTTTTTAAACTCTTTGGAACACAGTTTCAGAAGGAACTGACTGTCAGGCACAGAGCCACTCAACAGGAGGACAGACTCACACCTGACTCCAGAGTCCTGGCTGCCTCTATCTGTCCAAGGGGAACTTTACACTCATCAGTCCAAAAAGTGCCATTCACAACCTCTTCACCCCCTCAGGAAGGCCTTCCAGCGTCAGTCCATCTTCCCTGTGTGCACACACCCTCCACCAGCCCTTCAAGGTATTTTGTGCATTGTATGGTGCACCTGCTCCCAGGATTCACTCTTACTCGTGTCAGCATCCCTAGCACCCAGCACAATGCCTGACACACGCTGGGCACAATGAATGGATAAACAAGCCTTCACTCCCTGGGCCCATGCACTGTAAACCTACGAAAAGCCAGAGCAGCCTGCCCACGAAAAGCCAGAGCAGCCTGCCCTGGGGACTCAGTGGACCTCCCCTCAGGCTGGGATCACACCCTCAAGACAGTAATCCAGACAGACTCGGGACAGAGCACGTTCGCTCAGCCAGCTTTTTGTCCAGCACTGAAATACCCACAATCTGTTCTTTAGCTGTGCATCAGATGCAGGAAGTGGCTTATGTTTGGGAACCATGTTGTACAAAAATGTCTCCTTAAACTTTAGAACCTTAAAAGGGATGAGTGTGTGCTCGCTGCTGTTTCCCTTTTTGCCCTAGGGAGATCATACGCGTTGGCAGGAGCTACAGCAGCCAGCTTGCACTATGAGATGGAAGCCCAAGTTTGAGCAAGAAAAGCCACATTATCAAAGGAACCTTGCTCCCAGATGATTCACAGAAAGAGCAAACTGTTCTACCAGCTCTGGACTGCATAATTCCAGAATGTTAAGGAGCAAAGAATAAACTTCTGTTTCCGCCACTGTATTTTGGATTACTTTGTTGGAGCATTTTAGATTTCACCTAACTAAAGGTGTAAGCATTGCCCAGTGATTACCCACTCTGGTCTCTGTAGGTAAAATCACAGTAATATCAACAATTGTCCAACCAAACTGTAACAGGGATTTTGTCATTACTGTATAATTCTGAAGAAAAAGCTATCAGGAAAGAATGATTTGAATCACATTGAGTCTAGAGAGAAGAAGGACAAACTGAACTGATTTGTTTCATCCTTGAGTATTACAGACATACCTCAGATTCCCAAGTAGCCCAGGCTACTCTCTTCTGACAGTTTGCCTGTAACTCCAGCTTGGCTCCCCTCCTCCAGCTCATTACCTGAATCAATGACACCCAAGAAGAAAAATGATGAGAAACTGAAGGGTACCTGCTCCCTCAGAGCTGCCCTTTCACGCATTGATCAAACATAGACAAATACAGAGTGCTGAGCACAGCGCCCAGCCCAAGGAAGTGCTGAATAAATGGTCAACTTGAATAAATGGTAAAGGAAGGGTTGAATAAATGGCCTGCTCCGTGCCAGACAACATTCTGGCACTGGGACACAAAGATGCACAGACTTAGCCTCAGGCCCTGCTCTCAAGAACTCCTGCTCAGTGAGAGATAGGACACAAGGTTGATAAGCAAAAAATGACAAGGCTTGTGCCCAAGCATTACTGCTGCACTGGCACTGCTCTGGGATACCCTGGGGACTTTGTTTCTCATTGCATACCCTTCCTTAGGTGAGCTCATCGCCTCCCATAACTTCAGTGACCTTTGATGGTGACAGCTACTAGATCACTGCTGAACGAGTGTACTTGAATGTTTTATAGGCATCCGATTCCCAACATGTTCAAAACTAAACATATCTGCCCTCCCCCATATCTGGTCCCCGTCCTGCTCCCTGTCACATGGAGCAGCATCCAACACTCATCAGCCAAAAATTGGGGTGATCCCGACTCCTCCCTGCCCCTAACTCTCATCAAACTAATTGTGTCAATTCTATCTTCCAAACCATCTTTCCTCACACTCTGCCTCTAACTCACACTGTCATTTCTCACTTGGAGTTTTTTGAGATGGAGTCTCACTCTGTTGCCAGGGTGGAGTGCAGTGGTGTGATCTCGGCTCACTACAACCTCCACCTCCCAGGTTCAAGTGATTCTCCTGCCTCAGCCACCTGAGCAGCTAGGACTACAGGCACAGGCCATCACGCCCAGGTAATTTTTTTAAATAGAGACGGGGTTTCACCATGTTGGCCCAGGATGGTCTCCATCTCTTGACCTCGTGATCCGCTCGCCTCGGCCTCCCAAAGTGCTGGGATTATAGGCATGAGCCACCGAGCCTGGCCCTCACTTGGATTATTATAGCAGTCTCCTAATTGGCCTACAGGCCCACTCCCTTTGATACAGTCTTCACTTAGCCAGAGTGATCTTCCTAATCCACAAATCTGATTCTTGGCCAGACATGGTTACACATGCGTATAATCCCAGTACTTTGGGAGGCTGAAGTGGGAGGATTATTTGAGGCCAAGAGTTTGAGACCAGTCTGGACAACATAGTGAGACCTCATCTGTACTAAAATTTTAAAAATTAGCCAGGTGTTGTGGTGCATGCCTGTAGTCCCAGCTAGTTGGGAGGCTGAGGCAGGAGGATTGCATGATTTCAGGTCGAGGCTGCAGTGAACTATGATTATGCTGCCACTGCACTCCAGCCTGGGTGACAGAGCAACTTTGTCTAAAAAAAAAAAAAAATATATATATATATATATATACACACACACACACACATATGATTCTTTTATTTCAGGCTGGAAATAAAAGAATCCTCCCACCTCAGCCTTCCAAGTGCTGGGAACAGAGGCATGCTCCA